TGGCCATAGCAACAGTAAAACAGTATGTGCAGAAATGGGAATTGCAAATTCTATTGGTTCACCTTGAAATGCAAACTGAATCAAACTAATGCTGACAGGGAACATCTCATGTAGCAAATTCCAATCTGGAAGTGCCTTGAAATCACAAGCTTCAAAGCAGTGATATCAATTGAGCATATAATTACGACAGCGGCCTGCCAAGATCTTTAAAATGGAGGATGAAGGGGAAAGCTTCTCTAATGGCCTTTTGCCTTGTGATAATTTCTGAGGTGAATTTTTATTTAAAAGGAATATGGAATAGATCAGAGGATAGGGACAAACATGGTTTAGATCGGGGTCACCACTCTTTTTGAACCAATACATATATTCGAAACTTTGAGAGTTTTGGGGGTGCCTGTCACAAAATGGCTGCCGTGTGGGATATGATGTAATACAAAATGCCTCAGTGGGGCATGGCATAACACAAAAAGGCTGCCATGGGGATCTTGGCATCGTATAAAATTAGAGAGATCACACACACACACACACACACACACACTGCAGGAAGTTGGCTACTTGCTACTTGTCCTGATTGTGGCGATCACATAGTGTTTCTCTCTCTCTCTCTCTCTCTCTCTCTCACACACACACACACACACACACCACACCTCACCACACCACACACACTACACACCAGTACCAGGAGAAATATACAAGGTGGTCACATAACACTTCCATTTCACAGTTTGACCCATAACCTTCTTTCTTAAAAGGCTGGAGACTTACTTTTTAAATAATAATAATTATAATACAGTAGCACCTCGGCTTACGTTACCCTCGGGTAAGGTAAACTTCAGGTTGCAAAAGTGGCAAACCCGGAAGTGTTTCGCTGCGCGTGCATGCGCAGAAGCGCTCTACCGCACCGTGCACATGTGCAGAAGCGCTCTATCGAACCGCGCGCATGTGCAGAAGCAGTCTGCCGCCTCGCACACATGCACAGAAGCGGTCCCTCCAGTTGCAGAAACCTCAGGATCTGACCGGAGCTCCGGAATGGATCCCATCCGCAACCGGAGGGACCACTGCAATAATATCTCAGAGTTTGGTGCACCTGGCCAGGGACACCCACACCTATGAAAATCTACGTGGGTGCCATGATTTCCATCAAGCTCAGTGATTGCAGCCTTTTGACTTCCCTGCAGTGGGGGCTTCCTCTTGCCATCTTTTCGATGCTGCATGCTTTGTGTGTACCCGGAGGATATTGCAGGAGCAGCTGCAGAGCCTTACAGGGTGTGTGTGTGTGTGTTCAAGGAAAGCAGTGAGCAGATGCTCAAAGCCAAGATGAGTACCAAGGAAGGGTGTGAGGTTTGCATGCTCAAGCAACAACCCCAGGCCGTGTTTTTGCAAGCAAAAAGGGTATATTAAGAGCATGCAAACTAATCAGCCATGCTCAATTAAATCCTGTCCAATCCAGAAAGGGAGCATTCTCCTTTGGGATGCAGCTGGTAAATAAAAGTTTAACAGAGGTGGATGCACATGATTAGAAGATCTGAACAAGATCATTCGCGGCTCTGGGCGCCTTTCCACCGTCCACCGCATTCTTAATTTCATTAAGCTCTCCGCAAATACAAAACAAAGGCAAAGCATGCATACATCTGACAAAAATTAAGACAAAAGAAAAGAAAAGAAAAGAAACTCACACACCTACATACAAACAAAAACAAAACAGGTACAAAAATAAATATGAAACGAAAATGGAACAAATTCAAAGAATATAAAAAGCAAAGTAAATAATTAGGAAAGACATCCCAGGGTGCCATTTCTCTGCTGAGGTACTGGCTTTTCTGGGATGGATTCCATTTGCTTATTTTTTGGTTTTGGTTTTGACTTCCGTCAATCACACAGCAGTTCATTTCCTGTGGCTAAGACAGATTCTCTGCATTTCATTATATTCCTCATCTTGGTATGAGGAGTCATATCCTCACTTACTGGTTTATTCTAAACACAGCCAAATCCTGGTTGTTGAGCCTTGATTCGATAAATAAGTATTTAGGCATTGCGTGGCGAGTTCCCGCATCCCCCCAGTGGAAATAAAGACACAGGACGCCAATGAATAAGGTTAATGGGCTTAAATTGGCCACAACTTTATTGGTTACAGGTAAGAGTGGATATGCAGATGACACAACCTTGATGGCAGAAAGTGAGGAGGAATTAAAGAACCTTTTATTGAGGGTGAAAGAGGAGAGCGCAAAATATGGTCTGAAGCTCAACATCAAAAAACGAAGATCATGGCCACTGGTCCCATCACCTCCTGGCAAATAGAAGGGGAAGAAATGGAGGCAGTAAGAGATTTTACTTTCTTGGGCTCCATGATCACTGCAGATGGTGACAGCAGTCACGAAATTAAAAGACGCCTGCTTCTTGGGAGAAAAGCAATGACAAACCTAGACAGCATCTTAAAAAGTAGAGACATCACCTTGCCAACAAAGGTCCGTATAGTAAAAGCTATGGTTTTCCCAGTAGTGATGTATGGAAGTGAGAGCTGGACCATAAAGAAAGCTGATCGCTGAAGAATTGATGCTTTTGAATTATGGTGCTGGAGGAGACTCTTGAGAGTACCATGGACTGCAAGAAGATCAAACATATCCATTCTTAAGGAAATTAGCCCTGAGTGCTCACTGGAAGGACAGATCGTGAAGCTGAGGCTCCAATACTTTGGCCACCTCATGAGAAGAGAAGACTCCCTGGAAAAGACCCTGATGTTGGGAAAGATGGAGGGCACAAGGAGAAGGGGACGACAGAGGATGAGATGGTTGGATGGTGTTCTTGAAGCTACCAGCATGAGTTTGATCAAACTGCGGGAGGCAGTGGAAGACAGGAGTGCCTGGCGTGCTCTGGTCCATGGGGTCACGAAGAGTCGGACACGACTAAACGACTAAACAACAACAAAGAGCGGTATTGGCTTAGGCATTGGTCCTATCCACTATCCGGCTTCAGCTTGATTGCTTGAAGACTGGGAAGGGTTAACTCCAGCAGGGGGAGCCCTTCTGATGCACGTCAACTAGGAACTCCCCCGGGGTCACCGTTCGGGGGGGCGCTTTAGGCCCTGGCCTCCATAGGCTTCGGACGAGGCCACGCCCCCTGGAATCCTTTAACAGACCATATGAAGGATGAGGAGGTAAAATCAGTGATGATTGATTGGGCCAAAGATATAGGACATAACATACAAATGGAGGATTGGGAAAGACTCTGGAAAGATGGTTTAAGATTCACTGCATGTACTGCTTTAAAAGAAAATGTTATGAAAATGATGTATCGATGGTATATAACCCCCGTAAAGTTAGCAAAAATGTACAAGACAAGTAACAAATGTTGGAAATGTAAAGAAAAGGAAGGTACTTTCTTTCATATGTGGTGGGAGTGTAAGAAGGTAAAATGCTTCTGGGAAATGATTTATAATGAATTGAAGAAAATGTTGAAATATACATTTACTAAGAAACCAGAAGCATTTTTACTAGGCATTACAGGGAATGAGATAAATAAGAAAGAGAAGAAGTTGTTTTTATATGCAGTGACAGCAGCAAGAATATTGATGGCTCAGAAATGGAAGCAAGAGGAGCTGCCTACGATAGAAGAATGGAGAACTAAAATGATGGACTATGCGGAATTGGACAGAATGACAGGAAGGATCCAGAATTGACGAGATCAAAGATTTACAGAAGATTGGGAGAGGTTTATTCAATATTTGCAAAAACTAAGTGATAACCAGATTACGTTTGTAAGTTTTAAAGAAGCTCTGTGATGTGAAAATGTAACAATAAGTAAAAATAATGAATTGAATCTAATAGTTTTAATAACAAGGGGTAGGAATGTGTTAAAAGTGATAAAATGAAGGAAGCTCAGACAAATTGAGGGAAGTCAAAAATGGAATTAAGATGTAATTAAGAAGCTGAAATGTACAATTTTGTTTTTTGTATTTGTAAACCAATAAAAATATAATTTAAATATTTGGGGGGAGGTGATGGCGCTCCCCCCCCAACACATCTAAATAACAGTACCCCTACCAATGCCTAACTGCCAAGACCAAAGAAGTTGTGACGATTTGCTACGAGGTAGGCGAAAAACCAAATGGCTGGTGCCAATTTGCCAAATGGAAAAAATTCCTACCAGGCCCCTTAACAGTGACCAACCGAGGTCCATAGCAAGGTCAGAAGGAAGCCTGAAACAGAAGAAAAAAGGAGTGGGCAGGTGGGAAACACGAACAGCTGCGCCAGTCAAAGAGGGGGATTCCGGGGCCGCGCTCGCCTTAAATAGTGCAAGCCACACACCCCGAGCCCGCCGATTGGCTGGCTCAGGGGATGACACGGCCCGAGGATTCCCCTGATTGCGTGGGGCTGGAAGCCAGCCCCTGCGCTTGGGTTGGGGGCGTGAAGCCCACAACCCCACCTCCTCCTGATAGTCGGAAGTGGCTTTCCCATTCCTTCTGGATAGTTTTGTTAGACTTATTCCTTAAGGCTTCGGTTAGCTTAGCAAGTTCCAAGTACTCGCTCAGGTCAATGGCCCATCTAGTTCAGCCTCCTGCCCTCACAGTGGCCAACTCGATGCCTGTGGGAAGTACGCAAGCAAGATTTGTGCACAAGCGCACTCTCCGGCAATTTCTTGCTACTGGTGTTCAGAAGCATTACTGCCTGCAACCATGGAGGGAGAGTGTGGTCATCGTGGCTAATAGCCACCGATAGCCTCGTCTTTCCACAAATCTGTCCGGTCCTCTTTTAAAGCCACCCAAATTGGTTGCCTCCTGCTGGAGAGAGTTCCATAGATTACCATATTTTTCGCTCTATAAGACGCACCCGACCATAAGACGCATCTAGTTTTTAGAGGAGGAAAGCAAGAAAAGCCAGCAAGAGCCCCAGATACGCTCGCTCTTTAAAGATAGAGCGGCTCTTGCTGGCTTCTCCGGGAGGTGGGACAAGGGACTAACAGGCTGTTCTCCGTCCCTTCTCCCACCTCCCGGAAAAGCCAGAGCAAGCTGCGCTGCTCTGCTGAACCCAGCAGAGCAAGAGCGATAGCTGCGCAACGGCTCTTGCTCTGCTGGCTTCCCATCGAAACAGGATGAGGGACGGAAGGGCTCCCTTCCATTCCTCCTCCCGCTTCGCTGGGAAGCCAGCAGAACAAGAGGCACTGCGCAGCTCTTGCTCTGCTGGCTTCATTGACAGCTGCGCAGCCTGCACTTCTTCCATAAGACGCACACACATTTCCCCTTACTTTTTAGGAGGAAAAAAGTGCATCTTATGGAGCGAAAAATACGGTGACTATGCTTCGCGTGAATAAGTGCTTCCTATTACCTGGCTTGGTCCTTCCTTCACAGGACGTCTGTGACTTCTGGTGCTGGGAGAGAAGGAGAAAAAACTTCTAATTGGCACACCCACAAACCCATGACTGCCGGTGAAGTCTGGTCCATTTGGGCAAATGGAGGACTTCCTCAACAACCTCAGCCAGCCCCATCTGCCTGCACACTTACAAGCATCCAGAAGGGGGGGGCATGAGTGGCACTGCCTGTTAACATCCTCCAGCTTAGCCTCAGTTTTCCCCTAGCAAAACTCAGGAGGGTGGAACAAAACTAGCTTGCTCTGCCTCTGATTGGTTACAGCTCCAACTACTGCTGGTCTCTCTGCATACTGGCCCAGGAATCCCAACGGGCAACAGTTGCTGCAGATTGTTTTGTACAGTGGTACCTCGCTCCTGCCAACCAGTCACTTCGAAAACACATCAAAGCGCAAGTAGATAAATAGGTACCACTCTGGCGGGAAGGTAAACGGCGTTTCCATGCGCTGCTCTGGTTTGCCAGAAGCGGCTTAGTCATGCTGGCCACATGACCCGGAATCTGTACGCCGGCTCCCTTGGCCAATAAAGCGAGATGAGTGCCGCAACCCCACAGTCATCCACGACTGGACCTAATGGTCAGGGGTCCCTTTACCTTTACCTACCTCGGTTTACGAACAGCCCTGTTTACAAACTACAGTGGTACCTCTGGTTGCGAATGGGAGCCGTTCCAGAGTCCCATTCGCAACATGAGCAGAACACAACCCACGTCTGCACATGCGTGGATCGCGATTCGCCGCGTCTGTGCATGCGCATGATGTCATTTTGTGCATGCGCAAGCGGCGAAACCCATAAGTAACCCTTTCCGGTACTTCTGGGTCGCTGCAGGACACAACCTGAAAAAATGCATCACGAAGCAAATGCAACACGAGGTATGAGTGTATTCGGTTTACGAACTCCGCAATACCGGAAGTAGTGTTCCAGTGTGCGAACTTTACCTCAGTCTACGAACGGAAGCCAAACGGTGGAAGGGCACCGGCGACAGGAGGCCTCATTAGGGAAAGCATGCCTCGGTTTAAGAACGAATTTGGTTTAAGAACGGATTTCAGGAATGGATTAAATTTGTAAACCAAGGTACCACTGTACTGAGGAAGGCTGCATTCTCTCTGCTCTGTGTTGCAGTCGCTTGTTATACAATAGCTGGTGTCGATTTAATCACCAAGACATGTAAAAGGCAGTAAAAAGGTAAAAAAATCCCTGGACGGTTAAGTCCAGTCAAAGACGACTATGGAGTTGTGGAGCTCATCTCACTTTCAGGCCGAGGGAGCCAGTTTGTCCAGTTTTCCAGGTCATGTGGCTAGCATGACTAAACCGCTTCTGGCGCAACAGAACACCGTGACAGAAACCAGAGCGCACACAAACACTATTTACCTTCCCGCTGCAGCGGTACCTAGTTATCTGTTTGCACTGGTATGCTTTTGAACTGCTAGGTTGGCAGGAGCTGGGGTGGAGCAACGAGAGCTCACCCCATTGCGGGGTGATCAGCAAGTCCAAGGGGCTCAGTGGTTTAGACCACAGCGTCACCCACGCCTACTTGTTATGCAATAGCTGGTGTCAATTTAAGCACCTAGACATGTCGAAGGCAGTATGCCTCTGAGCACACCCTTTGCTGGGTTGGAGAGCATTTCGACCAGTAAGGTTCATTGGGTGAATTTTGCCCATTTAATTTTTTTTGCCCAGCCCCTCCTTTCAGTATCCTGTATCCCCTGAGCATCCTTAGTCCACATTGTTTTGTAGAAATTAGCCTACTGTACAAGGCTTGCTCTGTTTTCCATGGGACAGCCCATTAGGGTTGTTGAGCCAAATGTCCTCTGAACAGAATGGCTGAACCTTAATTTGAAGTGTTTTGAACTCTCAAAAGCACAATGCAGATGTTGTCATTACTACTACTACTACTACTATATCAGAATTACAGGTGATACCCAGGCACCTTTCTTAAACCCCTTGCCAAACTTCGGAGAAGCAATAAGCACGGATCTTTCACGGCAGGGAAGGCTGGATTGTGGACACATTAAGCAAGTGCTTTCATCATTCACCTGGAGATGAGAGGACTTATCTCTGCAAAGTCTCGTTCCCTCCATAAGCCCTTCTCTTTGCTTCCATCGCAGAGGCTTTCTCTTTGATCTGCATCCTTTGAAGGAGGAGGGAGCTGGAGACACCTGTTGCACTCAGAGAGCCTGACAAGCAGCTTGTATTCTGCCTTTTTTGGTGCTGACCTGACAACAAATTCGAGAGGATCAGGAGAGGGTTTTTTTTAAAAAAAACTTTATTTTTTTTGCTCCTGTTATTTCAGAGCTGTATGAATAGTCTCCCTGACAGCACTGCGGCGGATGCAGCCAAGAGGGATTTAGAAGTCCTTGTGCTTCCGCTGAAGACAGGCGACAGCTTTTCGCGAGCTGGGAAGAGCCCAGAAAGGAAGCTTTGACTTTGGGAAGGGAGTTGGAGTGGAGATTCTGGCTAATTAGCAGCGTCAAGTAGTAAGGGTGGGGAGTATTCTAAGTCATGTGTACATAGCTGTCAGCTTACAGATTTGAAAATAAGGGATCAGCAGCCTCGAAAATAAGGGACCAGCAGCCAAAATAAGGGATTTTCCAAGCACAGGTATGTTCAACTTCTGAGCCCCTCTGAGCCAAAGGGAGAAAGCCCAGCCATCAGCCAAACGAAGCCTCAAGTGGTGATTCCCACAGCGCAGCAACCCGGCAAAGGGGATGCAGCAAGGAAAACCACCGTCCACTCTCTGCTGGGAAACGCTGAGCAAAGGCGAGTCCCCAGGCAACGCAGCCGATTTGATAGGCACAAGGCATGCAAACTCCACCCCCCCCCCAGTCGTTCTTAGACTCCTTATTGGGTGAGCAACGCAGCCAAGCAACACTGTTGGAGCCTCCCTCCTCCCTGGCCGGCAGGGAGGGAGAGGAGTTGCTTCCTTTGAAACCCGGGAAATTTAAGGGACATAATAAGGGACAGCAGCGGGACATGGCACTGGGATAAGGGACTTTCCCACCAAATAAGGGACGGTTGACAGCTATGCGTGTAGTAAGACTGGGCAAACTCCTGTATTCCTTTCTTCCTGCAAGCAGAACCATGGGTCTCCCACAACCCAGTGCTGAAAAAGAATTAAAAACAGCAGGATTTCTGCCAGTCTTCTGGCATCCGGGCCATTTCAGTTTATGTTTTCTCGCTAAAAATGAAAGGTTTTTGTTTTTTGTATGCTTGAGCTGAAAAGGAGGGGGTGAGCTTTGTGAAACAATTTGCCTTCCATGACATTTGCTTCCTTCCACCTCCCAGGAGGGAGTTGTGGACTGAGATAAAAACATCCGCCTATTCAGAGGGAGGGCAAGAAGCATTGCCTTCGCTCTGAGTTAGCTTAGCACTCTCTCGTAAGGAGATGGCCATTAGCACTTTACCTCCTGCGCGGTCTTCAGAAAGGCTATGGGTCTTATTTCACAAAGACCAGTCTGCTACTACTAGAAGTGCAAAGGCCAAGAAGAGGGAACCTTTAGCCTGCAGGCCAAATTAGACCAGAGGCAGAGGCAGTTTTAGGGTAGCGTGACCAGTTCGGCCACACTGGAAGCAGGTTCTGCTGCAGGGGCACCACAACAATGATCTAGAATGGACCGAAAGAGGTGGGGGGCATCAAATTTTAGTGTCGCACAGGGCTCCACTGAAATTTGAGAGCCCCAAGTCCACACTGCCAGAGGTCATAATTTTTGTCGGCCAAGGATCTTGCGAAGCTGGTTTTCCTCCAGTGAGAGCCAGTGTGGTGTAGTGGTTAAGAGTGATAGACTCATAATCTGGGGAACCGGGTTCACGTCTCCGCTCCTCCACATGCAGCTGCTGGGTGACCTTGGGCCAGTCACACTTCTCTGAAGTCTCTCAGCCCCACTCACCTCACAGAGTGTTTGTTGTGGGGGAGGAAGGGAAAGGAGAATGTTAGCCACTTTGAGACTCCTTCGGGTAGTGATAAAGCGGGATATCAAATCCAAAACTCCTCTTCTTCTTCTTCTTCTTCTTCTTCTTCTCCTCCTCCTCCTCCTCCTCCTCCTCCAGCCATGCCCACCTTCCTGCCACTGTTGGGATTGGTTCCACTCAGGAGCTCCCAGCTAGAGGTGGCAGTCAATGTGATAGAGGGTTTGGAGTGTTGGACTAGGAGCTGGGAGGAACCCGAGTTCAAATCCACATTCAGCCATGGCTGCCATTGGGTGACCTTGAGCTAGTCACTTCTTCTCAGCCTAACCTCCCTCACGATGCTGTGAGGATAAAATGGGGAGGAGGCGATCTATGTAAGGCTCCTTGGGCTATTCGGAGGAGCGGTGTGATACAAATGGTGGTACAGTGGTGCCTCGCAAGACAAAATTAATCCGTTCCGCGAGTATCTTCGTCTAGCGGTTTTTTCGTCTTGCGAAGCAACCCTATTAGCGGCTTAGCGGATTAGCGCTATTAGCGGTTTAGCGGCTATTAAAGGCTTAGCGGCTTAGCTGCTAAAAGGCTATTAAAGGCTTAGCGGCTTAGAAAAAGGGGGGGAGCGAAAAAAAAATCTCAAGACTCGCAAGACATTTTCGTCTTGCGAAGCAAGCCCATAGGGAAATTCGTCCTGCGAAGCGCATTGAGAAACGGAAAACCCTTTCGTTTGGTGATGATGATCCTAATTTGAGTGAGTCCTTGCAGGAAGAGGTGCTTGCTTTTAAATTTGGTGCCAAATGCAAGTACAGTGGTATCTCAGCTTAAGTATTTAATTCGTTCCGGAGGTCTGTACTTAACCTGAAACTGTTCTTAACCTGAAGCACCACTTTAGCTAATGGGGCCTCCTGCTGCCTCTGCACCGCCGGAGCCCGATTTCTGTTCTCATCCTGAAGCAAAGTTCTTAACTTGAAGCACTATTTCTGGGTTAGCAGAGTC